AAAAAAAAAAAAAAAATTACAATTAATAACAATAACAATAGCAATAACAACAACAACAACAACAACATTAACAACAACAATATTTTTTCAAAAAAAAAAAATAAGTACAAAAGCTTATTATTATTATTATTAATTAAATGGTGTATGCATTTAATTTTTTTTTTCATTTTACACACGCGCACGCACGTACGCACGCACGCAATTTCCGGGAAAACGTATGTGTATAAACACAAAAAAAAAAAAAGAAAAAAATTTGGAAGATTTAAATTTTTTAAAAAAGAATTATTGGAATTTATGCGTAGAAGCATATACATACATATATGCATAGCATTAGGTTATGAACGTTTGTTCGTGCGCGTGTGACTCTTTTTTCCGATATCGATAAATCAAGGTCGGGAGCAACAAAATACATTTACGTAAGTCGATATAAAAAAAAAAATTTGTTTTACACAATATTATTTTCTATATATAAGCAACAGTCTCATAAGTTTATAATTAATTTAAAAGAACACTTTTCTTAGTATAAAATTAATATTTAAAATAAACGGAATTACTATCATTATTATTAATATGTGCATATTACGTGTGTAATTTACGATTATTATTATTATTATTAACTACTATGAGTATAAAACGTCGGATTCTTCATAATCTCCTTCCATATTTTTCAATAAATTTTTTTTTTCTTCAGTCTTTTTCGATGATGCCGACGATAGAGTTGGGGGAGACGATAGAGATGAACGAAGATTCGGTTCGAAACATGGCTGTAAAACATAAAAAACAACACAAACATAAACACTCACAAGTTAATTCAAATAATAATAATAATAATAAAATTTAACGAAAAATCGACAGAATTTATGTTAACTGATTAGAAACAAAAAAAAAATTTAATAAAACGGCCTGTCGTGATAAGGATAATAATAATAATTAATCTTTGGCAAAAAAAAAAAAAATTTAATTTTTTTATCAGCGATCGTGATATGCGAAAAATGTCATTAAACTGAAAATAATAATAATAATAATAATAATAATTTTAAAACGTTTGATTTGAAATAACAAAAGGGAAAATTTGAATGATTCCATTTTATAATTTATTTTTTTATTGGAAAAATTTTATTATTATTTAAATAATCTCATCACTTTTGAGTTAGTTAGTTGATTAAAAAGAAAGGTACAATTGTCGATTGCATACAGGAAGGGAGGGAGGGAGGGGGGGAGAAAAAAAATTTAAATGATACTAACCGTTTCGCAAATGTTCATGTTACAACAATTTTCAATTGTTATTTCGCATTGCTCGGATGTGCTTATTTGCGGTCTCGCCGTCATCGGAGTTTGATTTTTAACACCCTTATTAACGACGATCCTTTTTTTGATTCTCGGACGACGATGCAAAAGGCAAACCTTTTTCGTCAGTACGGCAATTATTAAAACAGTTAAGGCTTGCAAACAAGTTAGAAAAATTATTATTATTGTTTGCTGTTGGCAGGCACTGGATTTGTACGATACTTCTTCTTCCTCTTTCTCCGAACTAACGGCCGATTCGTAAATGGATAACGATGAGCAATTACACTTTGGCGTTGTTTGGCCTATCGAATTCATCGAACATATTTGACGGCATGCAAAATCTAATGATATTTCACATCTTTGTCCGGAATATCCCGAACCGCAGACGCACAAAGGAACGGATTCGTTGACCGTGCAACGTCCACCGTTCAGACAAAAACCCGAACATACGTCTCTCTCGCAACGGTTACCCAAGTAACCGGATTGACAGCGACATTCGGGAAAACCCGCTCTGTCTAAATAACACTGTCCTCCGTTCAGACAATAATTGTAACACTCGGATATCTCGCAACGATTTCCGGTGAAACCTTTTCGACATCGACACCGACTCCCGTTCGGGTCTCCTCCGTTTAAACAATATAATCGCATTGGGTTGTTGGTGACGTTGGTCTGTTTTGTTTGTTCTTCGTGGTTCTCCTCTTTGATTTTAAAAGACGGTGCGATTAATTGTGAATCACATTTGGAAATGTCGTTTTTAAACGCGGCCACACCGTAGGGTACAGTTTGTCGAAAATTGTAAAATATTTTCGGTTTGTTTGTGTTGTAATGAGTTTGATTGATGATAGTGGTCGAATCGGAAGACAGCATCCAAATGTTATTTTTTACCGTGTCCGACCAATATATGGCATCCTTTGTTACCGCGATACCAAATGGTAACTGATGTGTTTGTCGAACTATCACTTCTCTATCGGAACCATCGAAATTACTTCTTTCAATTGTAAAATATATACCTTTTTGGTCATCGGTCCAATATAATTTTTGATATAAGTCATCAACGGTTATACCTAAAGGTACGAATATATTATCTACGATTATTTTTTCATGTTCAGATCCATCCAATTGAGCACGATCAATTGACGCTGAACGATGATTACTATTCGTCCAAAATAATAATCTGAAAAAAAAAAAAAAAAAAAAAATTTTCATTAAATTTTTTGTTCCGGAAAATTTTTTTTAAATTAATTTTTTGCTTATTTTATACCTTTTACAAAAACTAATAGCTACACCATTAGGAACATCTTTTTCAAATTTTAAAACGGGTTCAATCGTTTTGGAGTCGTTGGA